GAGCAGCAACAGGTCTGTAGGGGAATATTCTCTCTCTACACACACACACACACACACACACACACACACACACACACACACACACACACCAAGCTTATGGCCATCTCCTCTGGCTCACAACCATCCTCTAAAGTCTTGGCCTGTTTTGTAAAGAGCAATTTCTGGCTGAGACAAAAAAAAAGAAAGCGATTTGTAGTCCTTCGGTCGCAATAAGAGCCGTGATTAGAATGCAGCACTGCAAGGCATCATAAATATGAACCAGTTGCCAAGCGTCCAAATTCTGAGCACACGACCATGGAGATGCTGCAACTGTCCTAAGTGTGAAAACTGGTCATAAAGTCACTTTTTTCAGTGCCGTTGTACAGTTGCTAAATGAATGGTTGTTAAGACTAGGACTACTGTATTATTACAGTTATGAATTTCCATCTCTGTTCTCCTTTCCTGCAAGGACTCCCTGCATATATGAGAGTTTGCTAAAAAGTGCGGAAAAAATCCATGTCTTTCTGAAACCCAACAGGTTACTTCAACAATGGCAGGGATTGGGCATTTTGGGCATCAAATGAGCCACCGTGGTGCAGTGGTTAGAGTGCAGTACTGCAGGCTACTTCCACTGCCTGCCGGCTGCCTGCAATTTGACAGTGCAAATCTCATCAGGCTCAAGGTTGACCCTTCCTTCCTTCCTTCCTTCCTTCCTTCCTTTTAGAATGCAGAATTTCAGGCTAACTCTGCCCACTGCTAGGAGTTCGATTCTCACTGGCTCAAGAGGTTGACTCAGCCTTCCATCCTTCTGAGGAGGGTAAAATGAGGACCCAGATTGTTGGGGGCAAATAGGCTGACTTTGTAAACCGCTTAGAGAGGGCTGCAAAGCACTGTGAAGTGGTATACAAGTCTAAGGGCTATTGCTGTTGCTATTCTTTCTTGACAGGTAATCTTCAATGCCAAGCTTCCAAGTAACATGTCCCATAAAATAAAGTCCAAGGCATCCATCTTCCATCAAAGTCTGTTTATTAGGAACATATAAGATTGACAAGGACTTGGTATAATTCTGACTCTGGCCAGGATCCGGAATGACACAGGATAAAAAGCAAAAGTTTGAAACTTTCCCCCTAAGTCACAGTCTCCAATCAGTTCTCAGTCCATCAGCCCAGGGACTCTAAACGCCACCTTCCTCCAGCTTCAGGCATCCTCGCTGTTCCCACGGGAAGGAACGCCACCTAGACATAACATTCCCCCTTTATCTATGTAAACCCCCCCCCTTTTTTTTTCAACAGTTAGAGAGTGGCGAGCTTTTACTTGCAAATCTAAAACTAAGAAGAAATAGACAAAGGCTACAATAAAATATGGCTACACATATGTAATCTTCTGGGTCGACACTCAACTTATGACTGGTCATTAAATCACCGTTCAAGGTTACAACAGATTTCAAAAAGGATGACCTGTCCTCAAATGTATGACTGCTGCCCACCCCCACCCATTGGTCATTATTGGTCATTTTAAATGTCTGTCTTGTATTTGTATGTGCCCCTTCCCGTTTGAGTTGTTCGCCGCCCTGAGTCCCTTTAGGGAATAGGGCGGCATATAAATAAAATAAAACTTCAAACTTCAAACCCCCCCAGTTCCATGATCACATTTTAGATGCTTATCAACTGACTCACGTTTACAATTGGTTGCAAGCAGTTGTAAATTCAAGTCCAGTCACGTGCTACTTCAATTTACAACTGCAGTGACTTACAACCTGGGGTGAAATTCAGCAGGTTCTGACAGGTTCTGGAGAACCGGTGGCGGAAATTTTGAGTAGTTCGGCGAAGTGGCAGATGC